AAATTGTACAGTGTTCTACAACATGGATGAGTCTTGATTACATTATGCTACATGAACTAAGTCCATCAAACAAATACTGAGTAATTCCAACTAGATGAAGTCACCATCATAAAGACAAGAATATAAAGACATTATGAGTATTCCAATAACATTATGAGTATTACCTGGTGATTGCCAGGGGCTAAAGAAAAGGGAAAACTGGGAATTATTGTTTTGACAGTTTCACTTTTACAAAATGATGAGTTACAGGGTAAATGGTGGAGATGGTTGTCCAACAATGTATTAAATACCACTGAACTATACATGTAAAAATGGTAAAGATCAGTTTTGTTGTGTGCAGTTACCATAATTTAAAAAAAGCCTTAAATGATGTAAAAATTGAACTCCTCTGAGATGCTTTTTCTGTTTTCGCTATTATTTCAGGTTGCACTCTACTACACAAAAAATGTAGGGTGCAGAGCCTGTCTAAAATCTTCCAGGAAGTATCATTCCAAATGAGTCAGTACTATACTCAGGCTATAACATATTCTAATATACAATTAGGACCCCTGATGTTTACTAAATGCTTTTGCTTCATTGCATAATTCCAGCCTTTGTTTCCACTGATAAAATTACATCATAATCAAATATAATTTTATAGCACTAAAGACCAAGCAAATAATTGAACAGAAAGTATAAAACACTAACATAATACCTTTTGAACTGCATGTTAAATGTATTATTTACAAATATACACAAAAACATTGTTCCCACCCATACCCAGCAACATGTCACATGTTGCAAAGGATCATTTGTACCTAATGATTCATTAAGAGTCTTCATACCTTCATAAATGTTTTTATTTTTTCAAGTCTCTAAGTAATAACCAAAATCTAGACATCTAGAAATGCCACTATCAGCAGATGTTTCTATTTAATAGGATTAAACAATCTTGTTATGAAATACTTTGTTTCCTTTGAATAAACACACACACAGAATTGCCATGAGAGATGAAATCACTGTAGTTTTGGTTCAGTAAATGCTTGCTTATTTTTCACGTGTGAATCAGTTGATTAAAGACTAACATTCAATATGAATCATAAGCTCACAAGTAAGCAATGAGTTAGAAATTAAGTTCAAAGCAACATTTTATTAACCATAGATTTTTTTTCCAGTTGAAAGAAACCTCAGAGATCTTCCTATTTAATTCCATTACTTTACAGATGAATAACCAGCCACACAGAGAGAATAACTGGCTTCTCCACACTGTCAGTATCACAAAACCTAAATCCAGTCTTCTGACTCCAGCTATTTTACTGCATTTCATGGCTTGAAACTAATTTAAGCATCATGATAACCTTGGATCTTGCCCTCTTCACTAATGTTCCCAGTTCATAATCTTCTATTTTGTGATGTTAACTAATCTTCTAGGTCCAGTGTATCATAAACATTCTGTATCTGACTTGACATTTACATTTCTTAAATTAGATAAAATCAGTTATGTATATTACCTGTAGATCTTGGATAGTTAAAATTACATACAAAAACAATCTAAGTTTTTGATTTCTTGACATATACCACTGGTATATGTTTTACTTTTCTTTCTGCAGTAGCTTTGTACCAACTAAGTGATCAAAACAGAAAACTTGTAGAGGTCATAAAAGGTAAATGGGACTACTGCCTACAATGGAATCAAGATTCTACCTTGCCCAGAGAGAGAGCGCTGTTATTAGCCCATCTATTTCATTTAAGTTATATTCTTGAGCTCCAGGAGATCTGGGTAACATTAATGAAAAAGGATGATTCCCATTGCGTGAGGGTGTCATTCAACCTGTTCAACAAGTATTTACAATTGTTCTGGATGATGAAAACTTAAAAACTGATTTGACCAAATCAAATGTAGACATTGAGTATCCCAATAACAAGTTAAAAAAAAAAAAAAGGCAGAATAAAAGATTGGGAATTTTCGAAGAAGCAACACCTATGTTTTAAACTCAGATACAAAAATTAGTGTATTTCACCCTTTGCATTCTTCCAAGAATGTGACACAGTTTAACAAGAAATTATGGTTTTAACCTACAAAAGACAAAAGTTTGCATATATCATAATTGATTGATTTGAAAATAAAAACTTTTCCTTTTGGAATTCAGTTTTTAACTTGATTTTAGCCTACTTTTTAAAAAAGATTTGTGCATACAGAGGTGCAGGGGTGGTGAGAGGATTCACCAGATACAGAGTGGGGAGCAGGACAGGCCGGGTAACAAAGTACATTGCTGAGGGGAGCAGCGGGCAGGTCAGGAGAGGTCTGCCGCGCCATGTGGGTCACCTCTGGGGCCAGGATCGAACTCATGCTAAAGTAGCTTCTTAGTGCTGTGCTCTAACCTGCTGTGCCACCAGGGAGGGCCCATTAGACTACTTAATATAACAATTACAAAAAAATTATAATACAGAACAAGTACTACTTATATTCTGATATTACATTAATTTTTCAAAATGTAAATATTAATACTGTGGTAAGTTTCTAAAAAGTAATTATAATACAGTAACTATTACCAAAATACTAATATGTTACCTAATTCTGACATAGCTTTCTTATATGCTAGAAATGAAATCACTTTTTTTGTCTAGTTAAAAAAAATGTATTTGTGGCCTCCCTGGTGGCGCAGCGGGTTAAAGCACAGCACTGAGAAGCTAAAGCCACTTCGGCATGAGTTCGATTCCCGCCTGCCCCAGAGGTGACCACATGGCGCGGCAGACCTCTCCTGATCCGCCCGCTGCTCCCCTCAGCAGTGTACTTAGTCGATCTGCCTGTTCTGTATCCCACTCTGTCTCTGGTGAATCCTCTCACCCTCCATGTCTCTGGCCTGTACCCCAGTTCTGTACGAATAAATAAAAAAAAATGTATTTGTATAAACTAACTAGTTTAACCATCTTTCCTTTAAGAGTTAAAAGTAGTATTTCCTAAGCCAGAAAGAAAAAGAAAATTACCGGATGGCTTTATTCACAACAGAAGCATAAAGAACAGGGGTGCAAAAATAGTAATAATGAACAACTATATAACAGAGACATTTTACAGGGGTGGAGTGAGGAATGAGATCAAAAATGGGGTTAGCAGTGAGTGCACCGGACTATGGTGATAACACACAAGTGAACTGGTGATTGTAAGTCCATGGAGATTACAATTAAGAAGGAAAAAGGCATAAAATGATGTAAAAAACTATTATAATTTAAAAAGTAGTATTTCTTCTCTCCTCTAGCCCAGAAACAAATATTTACAAATTGTTCCCGACTTCTCATAGTTCCCATGCAACTTTTTAGCACTACCAGTACACCAGCATTATTTCATATTCCTAGTTTCCATAGGATGAAAGGCAGAGATAGTTCTCATAGGACCCATATTTTTCTATCCTGTAAACTCACTGAAATCACAAACTTTTAATTTCTGTCTAAAAAATGTTTTCTTGGCCCTCCCTGGTGGCGCAGCGGGTTAAAGCACAGCACTGAGAATCTGAAGCCACTTCCGCATGAGTTCGATTCCCGCCTGCCGCCTGCCGCCTGCCCGGAGGAGACCACATGGCGAGCCAGACCTCTTCTGACCCGCCCGCTGCTTCCCTCAGCAGTGTACTACGTAGATCTGCCTGTTCTGCTCCCCACTCTGTCTCTGGTGAAGCCTCTCACCGCCCCTGAGCCTCTGGCCTGTACCCCAGTTCTGTATGCACAAATAAATAAATAAATCTTTAAAAAAAAAAAATGTTTTCTTAATGTGGTACCTACTTCCAAGTATGTTTGCTACTTAAGATATAGAAGTTATAATTAACACTATTAAAGTGGCAAACTGAAAATACATTTTAAACTTTCAATGTAAAATTTTAGAGAAAATTTTAAGTCTCAATCAATATAAAAAAAGTTGCTAATAAAAGAATCATCCACATTCAACCTAACACACAGTAATCAGAAGGTATAGTTTTAAAATTTAAAAATTATAATCAGGGCCTCCCAAGTGGCACAAGGGGTTGAGTCTCAGCACTATCAAGCTATCAGCAGCCACAGAAGAACAATTTAGGTCCTGGCCAAGGAGCTGGCCCACACAGTGCAGCAGAAGTCTCCTGTACTCTTCAGTCCCATCCACTGCTCCCATAAACAGTCTATTTCAGTAGATCTGCCTATTCTGCAACCTACTCTGTCTTTGGTGAATCTTCTCACCTACACCTCTGGCCTATACCCCAGTTCTTGAGTGCATAAATAAATAAATTTTTTAAAAAGATAAAAATTATGATCATTGTGGTAAATGACAATTTAGAACCTCACTCTTACTAAAGGTGCAATTTTCCAGCAGTTGAAAACTTCTGTTGTCAAATCTTCCATTAGCAGATAAAAGTAGTAGCAAGAATTTTTTTTAATGTGTTTTAATTTTTTTTATAACAGTTTATTTTTACATCATTTTGTACATTTTTTTTCCATCTCAATTGTAATCCCCGTGGGTTTCCCATCACCATGTCACCAGTGTGCCATCACCATAATCCCGTGCACTTCCCTCGGACATACACTTCAGCGACATCTTTAAAGACAGAGCACCCAACGCCACAATAGTGAAGGCAAAGATAAATAGATGGGACTACATCAAGTTAAAGAGCTTCTGTACAGCAAAAGAGACATTACAAAAAAACAGACAGCCCACTAATTGGGAAAACATTTTCTCACACAAAAGTAGTGATAAAGGACTGATCACAAAAATATATGGAGAACTGATGAAGCTCAACAAAAATAAACAACCCCATCAAAAAATGGGCAGAAGAGCTAAAAAGACACTTTTACAAAGAATTTTTTTTAAGCAAGTAGCAACCAACAACAGCAGTACAGTATCATTGAAAGCCTGGGTTAACTGTGTTTGAACCAGTATTAGTGCTATGATCTCAAAGTGCCTACCTTCTCTGCACATTAATTTCATTATCTGCAAAATAAAGATAATATGCATCCACTTCATATAGTTGTACTGAGAATGAAACAGACTTAATACTTACCGATGATAGGCTTCTCGCCGATATTTTTTCAAGGCATGCTTATCCATGTTAGCAGGCATATCTGCTGCATTTTGTAACCGATCACTCCAAGAGGTGGTCATTTTAACTGTATGCTGGATTCTAGAAAAGAAAAATTAGTAATAACATAACATTGGTACCTATATAGTGAGATCTGATTTTTAAAAAACATTAGAAAAACTAATCTGCAAAGTGCATGACATAATAACCTGTTAAAACATACTGAATGCATGGGGCCTCCCTGGTGGCACAAGGGGTTAAGTTTCAGCACTATGAAGCTATCTACAGCCACTGCAGTATGAGTTCAATCCCCAGCCAGGGAGCTAATCCCCACAGGGTGCAGCAGACCTCTCCTCTCTCACCTTCTGCTCACCCCAGGAGTATGTATATCTTAATAGAGTCACGTGTTCTGCTGCCCACTGTATCTCTGGTGAATCCTCTCACCTCCCCACAATTCTGACCTGCACCCCAGTTCTTCATGCATAAATAAATTTTTTTAAAAAGTCATAAAATTTTAGTCAATTAAAAATATAAAAATAATTAAACGTTACAGCTGAGACAGGATAAAATCTGCTATGAAGTCTATATACAGTTATGTCAAGGTACAGGAGTGAGAATTTCCTGAAATATCTGGTATGCAAAGTAATCTTGAGAAAATTCCTCATATAGCAATTTTCCTACAATTTTATCTAACACACATCTTAGTGTTACTATGAATTTTAAACTATCCACAAAGCTTCTCCAAATCAGTCCATCTAAAGTTTAAATATATTTCACAGTGACAATGAAATTAATGATGCTGATTCTTTATCGTCTAGAAAAAAAGATGCTATAAACAAACATTTCAGCTGCCATCTATCTACAGTCAAGCTTAAAGAGTAGATTTTTCAGCAAGATAGCTATGACTAATTTTGATGGAAAAGCTCAATAGTACAGTTAGATCATTCTTTATTTCAATGTAAAATATGTAGTATAAAAAGTAATTACAGCTGATTCAAACATATATATAGTAATTTTACTCTTTTAAAATATTTCACGGACAAAACATAGTTTTCTTATCCACTAAAATCACCCTCCCCTAAGACAATTGCCCCAACAGCTCAAGGCAACTGCTGAAAAACAGGAAACAAAAAGTAAAATTGTAAGGTAAGACATTTCAAAATATATCTTTGGCCCTCCCTGGTGGCGCAACGGTTAAGGTGCAGTACTGCAAGTTGGCAGCAGCCCCAGCCCCTGAGGTGACCCACATAGTGCAGCAAACCTCTCCTGAGTCACCCACTGCTCTCCTCAGCAGTGTACTTCATTGATCTGCCTGTTCTGCTCCCTATTCAGTCTCTGGTGAATCCTCTCACTTCTCATATACCTCTGGCCTGTACCCCAGTTCTGTATGCATAATTAATGAATCTTTTAAAAAATGATCTTTTAGTCCATGTCAGAAATTCCAGTAAACTTGGAAAAGAGCAGTAAAGCACAATTATAGCACAAGTCTATCAGGCAACATGTTTAATGCACTTGGCAATTTCAATCAAATTATTTATTTTTTGGGTCCTCCCAGATGGTGCAGCGGGTTAAAGCTCAGCACTGCAAGCTAGCTGCAGCCACTTCAGTGTGAGTTTGGTCCCTGGCCCTTGAGGTGATCTACATAAGCACAGCAGACCTTTCCTGTAGGCCTACTGCTCCCCTCAGTAGTGTATTTCAGTGGATCTGCCTGTTCTGCTCCCTACTTTGTGTCTGGTGAATCTGCTCACTGCCCCTGCACCTGGGGCTTATCACCCAGTTCTGTTTGCAAAAATAAATCTTATTAAAAAAATTTTTTTAAGGAATAAATGTGCCAATGTACAGGGTAATAAACACTCAGTGTTTTATTAACCACATCATTGGAATTTGTAATGTCTGAAACTTGATATTTTTGTTTTACAATTAATCATTTTCATTCTAAAAATACTGAATACTTCTCTGAAACAACTGGAAAGGATAATTCTGAATGGTTTCTTCAAATTTTCCCACCAACCTGAAATTTATTTTAGTTTTCATTATACATACTAAACTTTATGGAAAAAGAAAAATTAAACCATACAGTTCACCTATACATACACCTGCTAATATTATAAGTGGGCACTTTACATATAATCCTTGACAGGCAAGCAAGTGAAACCAAGAAAATTTATGTTAAATGCTTCTCTTTTCTCTTAAATAGCTCATGATAAAGTTTTGTTCATTTTTTATTTCATAATTTTAACTGGAAATTTGCCTTTGCTAGTATTTTACATTCCTGTCAAAGGCCAACATTCACAGTTTGCACATAAAAGTGACGTGGAAGTAAACAACTTCCAACTAGTGAAATAAAAACATACCTACCTAGGGCCCTCCCTGGTGGCGCGGCAGGTTAAAGCACAGCACTAAGAAGCTATAGCCACTACCGCATGAGTTCGATTCCCGCCTGCCCCAGAGGAAATCCACATGGCGAGGCAGACCTCTCCTGACCCGCCCGCTGCTCCCCTCAGCAGTGTACTTCGTCGATCTGCCTGTTCTGCTCCCCACTCTGTCTCTGGTGAATCCTCTCACCCTTTACATCTCTGGCCTGTACCCCATTTCTATATGAATAAATAAATCTTTAAAAAAAAAAAAAAAAACTTACCTACCTAACACAAATTACTTGGTATCTACCCACCCTTCTTTATTTTTTGCTTTACGGCATATTAACACTTCCAAACATAAGATACATGACAGTATATATACTGTCAGCTCCTATCTCTATGTAATCTTTATTGAGGCTGAAACTTATGCTGTATCCCCCATTTCCTTGAGCTACAGTCTTGACACAGGCAGATATAAATAAAATCCTAAACCTCTACACTTAAAGCTCTTCATTTTCCAGAAGCTAATTCCTATGTAAGGCTGAAAATGCAAGGATATCGCACAAGTTCCTTTTAACATCTTTGTGAAATCTTACTCTTAGTTCAAAAGTAAGATCCTTGGCTTACTGTAATATTTTGTTAATGTTTCAACACCAGGACTTAGAACAAAAGGTTGTCTAAACAGAACAAAATATGGCATTCATTCAATAAAAATTGATTGAGAGCCTGTGTGCCAGGTTACTACAGGGGACATTTAAAAAAAAAAATGTCAAGAGTCTCTACAAATAAAAAGTGGGTGAATTATCTGGATGACATGGACATGCCAGAAATATGAAAGAAAAATTAAAAACAGTATGTATATAGCCATTATTAACTATACAAAAAAAATTTTATAGGAAATGGTGGCAGAGTAAATCCATCAGATTCACCTCTACCACATATTCACAACCAATTTACAACAAAACAAAGTCAACAACCCTTGAAAGATAAATGACTCACATACATCAGTAGCCAAGATGCAAGAGAAAGGGGTAGGAAAAATCAAATTGTGTTTGCTGCCAAATCAGAGCAATGCAATCCGCTACTTGGCATGGTAGTTGCTGTATAGATCCCCTTAGCTATGGCTAAGGGACTCAAATGCACTCAGAGACTGTAGGGACCCATCACTGCACTGGAGAAGGTGTACACAGAGCTGGCATGAATGACACGAATGACTCCTGGAGAGCTATGATAATAATGTTGCACAGTGATGATTACTAGTTCCCCTAACTCACTGAGAGAGCCATACCATATCATTGGTATCTTCTCAAAGAGGCTACTATTTGCAGCCTGAGGTTGTACTACTAGGAAACCCAGGGCCAAAACCAAGACAGTAATGACTATTCTTCATTAAACGGAGCTTAAGTACCTGAACTTAATAATATACATACACCCCCAGAATGACTCCACAATTAAAAAGCTGAGCGAAACAATTCCTGAAGTTGAAACATTAGCAAAATATTACATTAAGCCAAGAATCCTACTCACTTTGTGTGGCCCTGTCACAACTATAGTCCTCACCTAGTACAGCATTCAAACTCAATTTAAAGGCTGAAACTAACATGAGACTATATTAGATATTTTAGCAAGAAGTGGCCTAGAGTAGAGGTTCCTCACCACTTAATTCTGGTACTCACAGCACTACAGAATGCTTGAACCCAGGATATTCTCTGGAGGCGACCTTTTGGTGTGGCACCTTCCCACCTATTACTCCTCGCCAGCACCAATGTCCCCATCACCTGAACAAATGCAAATGCAGCAAGCAATCTGTTACTGTAAAGTAACAGGTTAAAAAAAAACCTAGGATTATACCCATCTTTTTGTGGGAGAAGTAGAAAGTCAATTTATTAAAATAAATACCTGGGCCTCCCTTGTGTTGTAAGGGTTTGTTAAAGCACAGAACTATGAAGCTATCTGCAGTCACTGGAGCATGAGTTTGATCCCTGGCCAGGGAGGTGACCCACATGGTGTAGCAGAGCTTTCCTGTCTTGCCTGCTGCTTCTCTCAGCAGTTTATTTCAGTAGATCTACCTGTTCTGCTCCCCACACCTCTGGCCTATACCCCAGTTCTTGTGTGCATAAATAAATAACTTTTAAAAAAAAGGTACTGGAATAAAAATAGAGATCAACAAAACAGAAAGCTCAAAAATGATAAATATCAATAGTTAACTCATGATAAAGGAGTCACAACCATACACAACTGGGAGATTCTCTTTTAACAAATGGTACTGAAAGAAGCCCAAGAACAGCCTACAGCCCAACCAACACCTGTGCCAAGAGCAGCCCCAGTGCCATGGCTGAATGGAATGCCCACACTGACAAACTCAAGCAAGGCAGGACCTGTCAGGATGTGGCATCATGGTGTGTAAGGACTCACTCTCTGTCTGGATGCCTTGCCTAGGAAAACCTTATCAACATCATGTCTGCTGAGATTAGTGTCCTGGTTGATAAAGACCAGTCAAGTTTTTTTGTGAATGGGCAGATACTTGGGAGCCAGAAATATTCTGTGATCAAGAGACTCACTACTGCAGGATGAGAATTTTACCATGTATCTTTGTATAAAAAGCACAGGTTGAAGCACCACCTTCAACATCACTGCCAAGGTGCTAGTCTGGCTGATAGGTAAAGGTGTCCATGGTGGTATGAACAAGAAATGTTATGAAGTAGTCTCTCACCTAAGATATGCCCAGTACTGACTTCATGTGTCCCTTTTCCCTACCACTCTGCACTGCTTTTGCACCTCACACTCCCACACACCATTTTTATTTTTAGGCCATTACCTCACACCCCTTATTGCTGAAAAAATAAAAATAAACACCACATGGGCTGGGGCTAGATGGACAGAGACATCTACCCATCTCCTTCTGTGTGTGCTGGAAAAATTTTTGTTGTCTTTGTGGTTTTTCCTGAATAAAAAGATTCTACTAAAAAAAAAAAAAAAGCCTAGATGGCCACATGTAAAAGAATGAAGTTGGAACACCAACTCCATGCACAAAGTAAATCTTATTTTAATTAAAGACTTAGGTATAAGACCTGAGACACTAAAATACATAGGAGAAAACATGGGCAATAGATTCATGACATCAATGATAAAGATCTTTTTGGAAATTAGACCCTTATGGCAAGGGAAATAAAAGCAAAAATAAACAATTAGGACTACCTCAAAAAAATTGAATACAGTAAAAGAAAATATAAGTAGATTAAAAAAAATCTCACTAAATGAGGTATTATTTTACAAATTACACAACAAGGTTAAAATCCAATGTAAAAAAAAACTTATTCAATAATTTAAAAAATCACCCAATTAATAAATGGGCAGCAGATCTGAACAGACAATTCACCAAAGCAGGAAAATGTATAAGGGAGATGTAGGTCAAAAGTACAATGAGCAGACCCTCCTTGGTGGCACAGCAGGTTAAAGTACAGCACTAAGAAGCTAAAAAGCCACTTCAGTGTGAGTTTGATCCCCGCCCCAGAGGTGATCCACATAGCACTGCAGACCTCTCCTGATCTGCCCTCTGCTCACCTCGGCAGTGTGCTTCGTCAGTTGGCCTGTTCTGCTCCCCACTGTCTCTGGTGAATACTCTCACAAATAAATAAATCTTTAAAAATTTTTTTAAATACAATGAGCTAGATATAAGAACAGAGACCATAAAATACCTGGAAGCAAAGATGGGTGAAATACTACACGATATACACCTCAGTAACATCTTTGAAGATACAGCACCCAATGCAACAATAGTGAAGGAAAGGATAAAGAGATGGACTACATCAAGTTAAAGAACTTCTGTACAGCAAGAGAGACATTACAAAAAACAAATATCCCCCAGATTAGGAAAAAATTTTCTCACACAAAACTAGCGATAAAGGATTGGTCACAAAGAACTGATGAAACTTAACAAAAATAAACAATCCCATCAAAAACTGGGCAGAAGAAAAGACTTTTCCAAAGAGGAAATGCAAATAGCCAACAAGCATATGAAAAAATGTTCAACATCACTTGCAGTAAGGGAGATGCAAATTAAAACCACAATGAGATACCACCTCACACCAGTGAGAATTGCAAGTCTTAAAACAACTAGCAACAACAAATGTTGGCAAGGATGTGAAGAAAAAGGAACTCTCCTGCACTGCTGGTGGGAATGCAAACTAGTACAACCACTATGGAAAACTGTTTGGAGGTTTCTCAAACTGCTAACCATGGTGCTTCCATAGGACCCAGCAATCCCACTCCTAGGTGTCTACCCAAAAGACACAAAAACACTGATTCAAGAAGACACCTGCACCCCCATTTTCACTGCCGCTTTATTTACAATAGGGAAGACATACATGGAATCAACCCAAATGTAGATGACTGGATTAAAAAGATGTGGTACATATACACAATGGAATATTACTCAGTAACCAAAAAAAAATAAAATACATGCCTTTTGCAGCCACATGGATGGAGCTGGAAGGGATCATGCTTAGTGAAGTAAGCCAGAAAGAAAAGGAAAAATAGCAGATGGTTTCACTCATAGCAGGAATATAAAGGACCAGGGAAGAAAATAGTAATAATAATAATGAACAACTATATACCAGAGACATTTTATGGAGGTGGAGTGGGGATTGGGACCAAAAATGGGGGGAAAGAGGAAGTGTACTAGGCTATGGTGATGGCAGTTGGGTGAATTGGTGGTGGGAAGCCCACAGGGATTATAACTGAGATGGGGAAAGGCACAAAATGTAAAATAAAAGTAAACTATTATTTAAAAATAAATTTAAAAAAATTTTTTAAAATACAATGAGATGCTATCTCACTATAGTGAGACTGGCACATATTAAAAGACCCCAACAAGAAGTGCTAGAAAGGATTCAAAAAAAAGAGGAACCCTCTTACACCACTTCTGGGAATGTAAGCTAATGCAGCCATTTTGGAAAATGGAAACACTGTATGACCCAGTCCCACTCTTGGGCATTTACACAGATTATGAGACCATAAGCAAAAAAATCACATGCTCTATGTAAAATATACTGCAGTATTACTCAGGGTAGCAAGGCCATGGAAATAAATTAGGTGCCCACATGTAGAAAAATGGATCAAAGATGCAGTATATCCATACTATGGAATAAATTCTATTCACTCATAAAGTATAGATGAAATATACAGTGAAACAGAGTTTGAAGGAATTATGTAAAGAAAGTCAGAAATGAAAAGATAAATATTGGACATTTATATAACAAACAATTTAACAAAGTAAAATAGTTACAAAAATTAGTGGACACTAATAAATGAAGTGAGGTTTCCAAGATTAAGAGAAGGGGAGGAAAAAGAGTCAACGGGATATAAGGAATGGCAGTGGGGAAAAAACCTAAATAATCCAATTTTTTTAAAAACTGTAATTAGTGAAGAAGTGGATTAAGAGCAGAGTCACATATGATAGGAAGTTGGTTTGTTTGTTTTAACTATTCCATTGCATTAAGTTTCCTGGTAAGAGTTAGACAATAAAAAATTCATTTATAAAAATATGTCCTTTCAGGGCTTCCCTGGTGGTGCAGAGGTTAAGGACACAGAGCTATCAGGCTATCACCAGTCACTGCAGAAAAGAGTCAGATCCTCATCCTGCCAGACTATCCTGTCTCACCACTGCTCCCCTCATGGCACAGCAGACTATCCTGTCTCACCACTGCTCCCCTCAGCAATGTATTTCAGCAGATCTGCCTGTTCTGCTCCCCACTGTCTCTGGTGAATCCTCTCACAGCCCCATACCTCTGGCCTACATCCCAGTTCTTGTATGCATAAATCTTTTTTTTTTCAATATGTCCTTTCAAAAATATTTAGACACAGTCCAGACAAATGAACATTCCCCTCTCAAAATTTCACTGTAATTTGGATTTTTTTCAGGAAACTACAATGATATTCACCAGGCTTAAGGATACCATACGTTAACCATATGAATCTGCAATTACACTTTTGGAAACTTGCAGTTGCTAATTTTCATACAACGGAATCAAATCGTAGAACTAAATAAAGCTGTGCAGGGCCATCTTCAGTACTCCCGTTTACAGATTAGTTGATAACTAACTGGTAAAATCTAAATTCTGGATTCATGAGAATAACGCAGCAATCTATACGGCAGAAATGTAGAGACTTGTATTTGCAATAAAAATGAATTTCAGGCCCTCCCTGGTGGCGCAGCGGGTTAAAGCACAGCACTGAGAATCTGAAGCCACTTCCGCATGAGTTCGATTCCCGCCTGCTGCCGCCTGCCCCGGAGGAGACCACATGGCGAGCCAGACCTCTCCTGACCCGCCCGCTGCTCCCCTCAGCAGTGTACTTCGTCAATTTGCCTGTTCTGCTCCCCACTCTGTCTCTGGTGAAGCCTCTCACCGTCCCTGAGCCTCTGGCCTGTACCCCAGTTCTGTATGAATAAATAAATCTTTAAAAAAAAAATGAATTTCAGAAAATTTCAGGCAGAGTTCTGATTTTAATATTACTAGCGGTGTCCTCTCGAACTTTAATTGAACTCTTCGAGCCTCAATGCCTTCATCTGGAAAAGCCTACCAACTGTTGAAAAGTGTTGTGGTAAATCATCCAAAGACCTCAATTACATTAAGCCTCCACAGTGAATGGCAGTGCTGCAACATTCGCCTTCACACATTCGTTAGTACTTTACTGCTTGCCTTAAGAGGTAAAATGAGCAATATTTAGACATGATGAAACAAGTACAATCCAATCATGACGAACCTGTCTGCACCCTGACAGACACACACGCACGCTCAGAACCCTGTAAGGATGAGTAGTCGCAGCAGAACGCAGTACTTTACAATCCTCAAACCTAAGGGCACTCAGCCAAAAGCCCGGGAAAACAACACGTCTGATCTATTCCTTTTAAAAGCTGAGAGCTAAAGGAATCAAATCTCCAAAATGCCACCGATTAGCAACTAAAGGTTCAGGCCTCAGGGCTGCTACTCACTCTCGGAGCTCATCGCTCATCGGCTGCCGGGGCCCCCAGGAAAAGGAACCGAACAGACCGCCAACGGACTGCCGGCTCTGCACTGGGGAGCCATTTGAAAAAAGCTTCTTTGTGGCGGGGGTTGCGATTCGTTAAGGGCTTTCCAGGAAGTGGTGCAAACGACAAAACTGGCGCGTGGGCTATCAAGTTTCCAAATTCTTGGGGTTCTCACTAAAACGCCGTCAACCTCGCATCCTACCACAGCGGGCCACTAGCTGCCCCGGGCTCAGCTGGTGACGCGCAGAGGGGCGGGAGGCCCACAGGGAAGGAAAGGGTGCCCGACGCTGGGGGGTAGAGGGGCTGGTAAAAACAGGCAGAATTCAGTCAAGTGATGTCTGAGGCGGGATAGGGCCCGCTATTAGAGAGAGCGAAAACGGGGCGGAACACGAAGCTGACGCCAAGGAAGCGACGCAGGCTCAGAGGAGCCGAAGGGCCGCTCTCTGGAGGGAGGCCGGCCCCCGCCAGCAGACAAGGGAGAAACAATGGCGCGAGAGTGACGTGGGGCTGGGGGCGTCGCCGCAGCACGAAGAAGGGTCAGTTCTGAAGGGGGCACAACCCGGAACCGGGCGGCGAGCGAGGCCGCGGTGCGCAGGCGGCAGGCGACGCTGGAACTGAAGAGAGGGGCCTGAGGCTTGAGGCGGCCCGGGTGGGGCCGGGGTCTGGCGACCCCAGTCGGGTCGCGCGCTCGTCCGCGCTCCCTCCCACCTTCAGTCCCTCCCTCCCTCCCTCCTTCGCACGTTCGCTCCTTCCCCTCCCGCCCGCTGGTCCCGCCGCACTCACCGGCACCGCCGCACGGCAGCAATCCCAGCGCGCAACTGCCGCAGCAGCATCGGCGCCCGCCCTCCCTGCCTCCTCCGCCTCCTCCGCCCCGGCACCGCCCCCAGCTCGTGCCCAGCCAGGGACCGGCGCGCTGTTCCGTTCTGCCGTTCCCCCGCAGAACCCGGCCGCGGCGAAGCGCGCTGGGTACGCCGCGGTAGCTGAGCGGCACTGTGGCCCTTCGCCTCTGTCCCTCGCGTGGGTCTGAGGAACTTTGAAGTACAGGACCACAGTCGTTGCAAGATGGGGTGACGCAAGTTGGCCACCCCTCCGAGTCCTTTAGGCTCCCGTCTACCCCCAGACCTACGGTAGCCGGGCCCCTCAGCAGGACACCTCAGCACGCTCCGCCGCGTGCCCTCGCCCTTTCCCTGGGCTGCGGGGAGGCGTCTTTTCGCCGCAAACGGAATCTCCAAGGGCAAAGGACCTCAATGCGCCTCTTGATCCAAAGCACCCCTGAGCCCCGCTGATCACTAAACGTGCTAGCTTTAGAGTTGGTTAGGACAGGTCGGAATCCCCGGCCCACTTTGTTGGAGAAGTTACCAGACCTCTTTTTACCCAGTTCCCTCGACTGTAATAACGGGGAGATAACGCCTACACCGTGGGCATTAACAGGCTGAAGTAAGACAGACACAGTTCTCAACACAGCACTGGCCCGTACTGCGTACTCAGCTGTTGGTTGTGTTCACCCATCACCAACCCGTCTACAAGAGCCTCAAGGACAGAAAGTCCACGCTTTCCCGAGCAAGGTGTTCCTTGGTCTTTACAGCTCTGACGCGCTGCTAGGAAGTGTTGGTGAAGCTCCATTCGCAGGCCCAAGTCTTGTTGCTCGGAGTCTGAGAATGAACAGACGTCCTCTCTCCCCAGCCCCCTGTTAGGGAGCCGCCCTATCTCTGAAAAGGGAGGTGCCCGGTCCTGCCCCACCTAAAGAAGCCTGGAGTTGAGCAGAGAAGACTTGGGGGAGAGGACGGCGGGAGCAGACATGAAGGAGGGTGGGCTTGCTTCATGGCTTTGGACTGGCACCAGGGGCTTGGGGCACAGGGAAAGAGACAGGTGGAGCTAGCACGCAAAGAGTCATTTAGAAGGGACTTGGGCTAGAGACACCAAGGGATGCTGACAATGGCAGTTGTTACCTTGATCTGTACTGATTTTGCTTCTTGCATCCCTGGCGCCTTCTGTTTGGCAACCATCCCAGGCCAGGTAGGTTTACTGTCAGTTCTCACAGAGAAGGCACTTTTGGGGCCTTTGGTAGATTTCCACAGGCCTTTAATGCTGAGTCAAGGGACAGGCCAGCTTTCCCTCCGCATTTCTCTGGCGTTCTCCTTTCCGTGTGGGCTCGCCTCAAAGAGGTCCGCCTCCCTGTGCTGCCTCTTTGGACTTTACCCCTCCCCTCGAGACACAGGTGTGCTTGTTTTCACACGCAGCCTGCAGAGCTGTGCTCCCTAGCCCCGGGGTCCATAATTACCGTGAGTGTGCCACGTGCTCCTGCCACAGGAGCATTTTGCATGGGCCGCAGGTGGCAGCTGTAGAAGTTGAGGGAAGGAAGAAACAGCCCGACTACCTCACTTACCCCAAATCTTCTCCTATGGTTTCCTGCCAAGAGGTTCCTTAAACTTGGGGCAAATTCTCAGGCCTCAACAGCCTCCCTTTGGGTGAAACCTGTTTGGCTGGACATTTACTCAGGAGAGGATGGCTAACTGTGATATTTCTTTGAGAAACTACCCTTCTCTGTGCACACTATCAAAGTTCTTTCATACTAAGAAAGAATATGCTTTCTCAGTAGATGGCAGAATCCATTTAGAGCATGTTGGTTTGGGGGTACACTAACACTTCTACTCTTTAGATACTTGAAAGACTTCTACCCAAAGTCTCCTTTGACAGATCAGACTCTCCCACTCCTTCCATTTGTTGTGAGGATCTTCATACTCATTCTTCTCTCCTTTAGAATATGTCATCCAAGGCTGAATCAGATGCTCATGGTACTATCCCAGCAAAGCAGGCTATAATTTTCTCCTTGTAGACGTACTACCTTGCATTCAATCAAGTGCATAACTGCAATGAAGTTCTTGGCTTCTGCACTACTGACTCATTAAGCTAGCAGTCATCTAAAACCTTCAAGACTTTAATGAGTACTCTGCTGGGCATTCCTACCCCATCTTGTGTTGAGGACATGCCTTCAATGTCTCACTTACTAGATTTTTCAGGATATGTCACAAAAAGGAATAGGATTTGGAAGTTTATGTAACACCACCTTTAAATCAAGCATGCTTGAAAAAGGCCAGTTTTGCATCATGATGCTGGGCAAACAGTAAATATGTGTGTGTATATACTATTTATATATGTATATATATAATATTTATATATATATGCAATGTGATATCAACTAAGCAAAAAAAATGTGTGCATACACACTAAAGACTAGGAGGAAATATAATTGAACATGCTAATTGATAACACTTGGGTGGTTTCTTCTTTGTACTTTCCCCAAAAGCCCCCAAACTTTCTATATTGTTTACATTACTTTTATAATCAAGAACTGTGTTTCAAAATAATATCTAAAAAAAAGGGAGAACTTAAAGAAAAAATGAGGAACAAAGATAAAAACAGATTAAGAAAATATTTGTTAATATATAAAACAAAGAACCTGTATCTGAAACACAAGAGATTCAAGAAATCAATAAGAAAAAATATAGAAAATAGAAAATAGGCAAAGGATATAAAAATAGGCAGTTCACAGAAAAGAAAATATAAATTGCCAGTAAGCACAAAAGATTTGGTTCAAGCACAATAGTAAGTAGTAAAATGGAAATTCAAACTATATTATTAATTTCAAGCTTCATGAGAACAAAATAATGTGAATAGGCATAGCCACTTTAGAATGCAATTGGACATTTATTAATTATGATATGGCTCAACAATGCTACTTCTAGTTATCTACTATAACTCATGTGCTTATAGAGACATGTACAAAAATAGTCATTTTGATAATACTAACAAAGTTTGGAATCAATCTCAATGCCCTCCAAAGGGAAATGACTAAATGTAGAATATTCATATAATAGAATCTTACAAAGAATTTATAAGAGGTGGCCTTGGTCTACATGTTATTATAGATATATCTCAAAACCATAATGTTAAAAATGAAAACAGAAAGTTGCTGTATATCAATATATATTTATTATATTATTATCATCTAATTTACCAGTATTAAATTCTTAGTTTTCATTATTGAATCAGGATTATGAAAACTGTTAACATTAGGAGAGACTGAATGAAAGGTTTATTGAAACTTTCTATACTCTTTTTGCTGCTCTTCTATAAATCTAAAATTAATTCAAAATAAAATGTTAAAATATATACATAAATGCTATTATGTCCTATCATCACTGCCATAAGGAATGTTAGTGTCTCCTCTAAATTTGTATGTTGAAGCCCCATCCATAATGTGATGGTATCAGAAGGAGTTTAAGTCATGGGGGTAGAGCCTTCAACAATGGAATCCCCTTGTAAGAGACTCCAGGAAGCTCTGTAACCCAGCCTACCTTGTGAGGATATAGCAAGAAGACAACTGAGTCTCAACTAATAATCAGATCTTCACCAGACACTGAGTCTGCTGGTGCCATGCTTTTGAACTTCCCAGTCAGTATAACTGTGAAAAATATATTCTATTGTTTATTGACTGCCCAGTCTATAGTGTTCTATTATGGCAGCTAAGACAGTGACACATTAAGTTTATAGCAGATTTTTTAAACAAAATGATATGGCTTCATACCAGAGACTATCTTAAACAGAAGATTAAGATTAGAGGTAATGTTCAAAAGGAGTAACTAACTGTAGTTTTAATATTTGAGAGGTAAATGTATTTGTGTTTTGCTTTTTTAACTAAGAAATAATTTTTGAAAATGCTAAAGGACAGGAAATTTAGCCTTATGACTTTTAGGAGTAAGATAAGCCATGCTTATTTATGAAACAAACTTCTTTTTTTATTTAAAAAATATTTATTTATGCGTACAGAACTGGGGTGCAGGCCAGAGGCGCAGGGACGGTTAAGAGGCTTCACCAGAGACAGTGTGGAGAGCAAAACAGGCAGACTGACAAAGTACACTGCTGAGGGGAGTAGCAGGCAAGACATGAGAGATCTGCCATGGATCACCACCACCACCACCACCCCTAACCCTGGGGCTGGGGTTCCAACTCATACTTAAATGGCTGCAACTAGGTTGCAGTGCTGCACTTCAACCCACTGTACCACCAGGAGGGCCAAAACAA